AGGGGTGCTGGTATTGTGGCATGGCCAGCACGCTTTCAGTACCCCAAGTTGCATCATGTAACAGTTACACATCACTGGATCCCTGAGAGGAACAGCAATAGCTACACAAATACTCTAGTCCAGGTTTTCCTGGACACAGTGAATTAGTCTGCAATAGGCCTGTGTGTGGGCTGTAGCGCCAAAATTCAAAGTCAGCTCCCAGTAGTTGAATGCTTAAGATAGGCTTTGGTGTTTCAGGCTCTCTGATGCAGGGTCTGTACTTTCAGTATGATAAGTGAACTGAGAAGGATTAGGAAAACAAGATCTGAGATCTTGCAATTCTCTGTTCTCAGGAGTTTCACCCTTTATACTTAAATAGCCAAGTTGACAGTTCTCTGCACCAAGGGTAACTCCCTCTGCCCTCTTCCCCTCTGGGCCTTCAACACAAAACTCACCAAAGAAAGTGGCTTTGGTGGGAAGCTCTTACGTCCTTCCCTCTCTCCCTTTCCTTGAAAATAACACAAGAGGTGTAAAAGTAAAATGCAGCTTTATTGCCTAATGCCAACTTTTCTTCTTGGGCTCCTTGCTGAGGAAAGCCACCCAGGGCTTTTCACACCTAGCCCCTCACTGGATCGTCAGCACTGGGGATGGGGTGATGGTGGAAACACCTGTCCCCTTCTCCCCTTCCTCCCTGATTAGACTTTGGTCTCCACTACCATGGTCTTGTCAGCTTCTTGTTATGCCCTGGCTGTCTCCCTTACCCAGAGCCTCTCTGACTTCAGTATCTTCAACTGCTTCAGTATCTGCTGGGGATGTTGTTCCCCATGAGGAACAAGGTTTTACACCCTCTTTTCCACCTCTGCAAAGCTGTTTCCGCTGGTGGGATGGGGTTTCTCCAATCTGCTGCTTTGCAGTGCTGGGCCGCAAAGTCCCAGCTTGCTGTGCAAGCTTGCAGAGCTCCTGCTGCCCAGCATCAGCTGCATGGTCCCTCTTACCGCTGCCTGGATAAGAAGGCAGATTTCTGAGGTGTTAGGTGATGAGCAGACACTTTCTTGACCTAAAAGATACCAGAGCTCTTTGAGCTTAACACAAACCAGCCTTAGAAATAGCCAAAGCAGTAGTGAGCTGGATACCACCCAGTTACAGACTGACTTTGTCCCCAGGAGCCCAATGCAGCAAAGAGCAGGAATCCACTGCAGCCACAGCCCCCATGCCATGCTCCCTGTCCCTGCCTGCACCCTGCCTGTCCCTGGAAGGGACACAGCAGAAACATACTGGCAGGGAAACAAACCACTCACCACCCCATGGCAGGTGCCTGGTCCCACCTGTGCGCAGAGGCTCCTGTGTCCCTGAGGTGCCGGAGCCTGCATGGATGAGACACAAAACAACCGCAAGGGACATGCCAGAGGTGGCACATCAGTGTCCTCACTAGTGCTGGCAGGGGTGGCCCCACTGGCGTCTCAGCAAGACAGTGTTGAACCAGACCCAGCACATGTTAGCCCAGATGTGCACTGCAGCTCGCTGCTGTGGCCGTGCTGGCAGGACACAGCCCTGTCCCAAATCTGTGGCTGCTGCTTTCACTAAGGACAGCCCTAGGGCACGATGCTGAGGGAAGCACCCTGCTGTAAGGCTTCCAGCCTAAGCCGCCCCTCTCCCCTTGCCAGCTGCAGGCTTAGGGACACATCTGTCCCCTGCTTCAGATTAAGGTCTGTCCAATCTGTGCTGGGAGAAAGAACAGGGCCAGACGACCCACACCATCCTCCCCTGCCTGCACTGTTCAGCTCTGGGGACTGAAGCAACATCCACACCTCGTATAGATCAGCTGAAGGACCCCCTCTTCCCCTTTTTTCTCCTGTACAGAAAGCCGCAGAGTCAGGGTGGGGAGCAACAGCAGTTTAGTTTCTGAACCCATGCTGTTTCCTGTCCTTTGCCAAACCCTCTTCTGCTTCCCTACCCAGAGCACTGGGGCTCACCCACACCCAGCTGCTAGAGAATCGGTGGTGATGTTTGGTTTTTTTTTGTCACAGTGATGAAGTGTTTATAGCAACCATCGCTCAACAATCCACAAACTTCACTGATCTCAGCCCAAGCTTCTGAAATAACAGCAGAGAAAGCACAGCTTCTTTTTCTGGGGTCAGCGATAATTGTGTTTCAGGTCAACAAAGCTAGGTATCACCACACTGGAGATCACCCAGCACCTTTTGCTGTCCCAGACGGGCACCTCAGAGTTGGGGCAGTGATGGCAGTGATATCCCTATGGCTGCTGTCTGGTGACCAGGGGGGACACGGGGGCCGCCAGCCACCTCCTGAGGGTCTGCTGTCTGCATCCAGAGGTGGGAGCAGCTGGTAGGGCACACTGAGCTGGCATTCCCTGCCTGCTCAGGAAGCTGGTGTTTTCCATGAGCATCCTGCTCTCACTGGCTCCCTTGTTGCAGGAGCAGCACCATCAAGGAGGCTTCTGCCACACTGACAGGGAAGGGAACATCCCTGTCCATCCCCAGCTCCCACCAGGGCTAGGAGCTGGAAGCACCGCAGATGAGCTGTGCTGGAAGCCATGCTGCTGCCTGTCTGCACAGCTCACACCCCACGCCATGGAGATTTACTGTTCAATGGATAAAAGATTGTGTCTGCTGACAGATCACCTCCCTGGCCTGCTGCTGAGCCTCAATGCGCATCAGAGGGGAGCGCCGAGATTGGGTGCGGATTTCCTATCCAAATGCGATACAGCTGTTCCTGCTTCCTCTCCAAAGGCTGAAGCAAGTTTTACAAAATCAATTTATCATGTATTTTCTTTGACCAAGGCTCCTTGTGGATGTGACCTGTGCCTGAACTGCCCAACCTCACAGCATCAAGGCTGGAGCAGGCAGAGAGTGTGACTTGTACAAGTGCAGCGCTTGGAGGGGAGTATCCTGACAGCAAGTCCTGGGGCTAAATGACATCTCAGTGGGAGTGCCTGTTGCAGGGTGGACAAAGAAACAGGATGCTCAGAAGGAGCTTTTTGGTAATTGATACCCAAGGGCTTGTCCCCAGATCTTGCTTGAGAGACCTCAGTTTTTAACTTCTTCCGTGCACAGCAGAGTGAGGCAGCTCCAGGATCAGGTTTAGTGCCTTTGCAGGCACAGCTCACTTCCTACATCCCTGTGTGCACCCAGGGCAAGGTGAGCCATCCCCAGCCACCACACCTACAGTGCAAATTGGTGTCAGGGACGAAAGCAATCAGCAGCCCCAGGCAGCATACTGTAAACAGCAACACACTGCCTTCTGCCCTAGCCTCTGCCCACAGAAAGGGCTTTTAGCTGAGAGCTGGATTGCCCCAGCCTCTTCCTGTGCAGCACTTGCTTTTCCATATCTCTGACTGGTAACCTGCTCATCTCTGATGGCCTGGACCCTTGCACCTGGAATTAGCCACTTCTGAAAAGTTTTGGTGCTGGATCCTGTTGGGGAAGACCAGGAGACCAACCCATGGGTGCCTTTCGCAGCTGGACACACTTACGCAAATCCAGATGATGACGAATCTTGTGCTTGCCATCATTTTTAATGCTGAGGGTAAACAGCTATCTCAGCTCAAGGCTGCTGGGATTGTATCACTAGTTTGCTTTGAAGCCCAGTTTGCAGAGGAAAGACGCCCCAGAGCCCCAGGGGCAGGCTGCATGCCAGCGGCAGTGCAGAGCAGGACTGTTTCTCACTGGCCAGGAGCTGTGGGTGCTGGCACTCCTGGGAGGCTGGTGGCAAGGGTCGCAGTGGGAGGGCAGGGGGCCCTAAGTGCTCTGGCTGGCTGGGAGCAGTGGTGGTGGCCAAACAGCAATAGCCAGAGTTTGCCTTTGACACAGACGCCTGCATTTGTTGTGCTAACTAGGTGGGAGGCAAAGCAGTGATGGTTGTTCCAGTTTATCCCGCTGGAGTGTGTCTAGTGGATGCAAAGCCTCTTGGCAATAAGCACACGGGATGTTTTAAGATACTTATCAGATCGGGCTGCTTTTGACACCAAAGATTTTGACACTGGATACTGGATGTACCTCTGACCCCTGAGGGTTCTGGCCAAGTCCCAGGAAGGCTGGTGTGAGAGTAAGATGCAGAGCAGTCTCTAAGGAAATGCATGCACAAACCATAGACAAAAATATCTCATCACGTGAGGAGGTATGTCTGAATATGTAAATGGGGTGGTTTGGGTTAGGAAAAGACATGGTTAAGAAACCATTTTAGAATCATCCCTCAAGTTGACATCTTTTACATCTGGCAGTGCTGCTCTTCCAGCAGTACAGGTTGAAACGGGAAAGAGCAAAGCACTTGTGAGACAGATCTCACTTTATAATACTGCATCTTTGCTTTCAAAAAAGCTGGCTCTGCCATGCTGAAAACTTGGCTTTTTCATAGAGCTGCTCAGAGCAGAAGCAGTGAATACCAGGTTTTCCTGATGCGACAGTCAATCACCTCCCAGCAAGACACCTCTGTGCCTCAGCTGAGGGCTGCAAAGTGCCATCTCAGATCCAGGAGCAAAGAGCTGGGGCTGCCCACAGGCATGGCTTTCCAGCAAGCACTGCCAGGGGTTGGGGCATGGCCAGGAGGTTGCTGAGTGCCTCAGAGACCTCAGGTCAGCAGTCTCAGACCCTTGTCCAGCAGCACCACATGCCTCTGCATTAACCCCGTGACAGCCACAGGCAACAAGAGGTGGCTCATGGCAGGAACCACCATGCTCTAGACTTCTGCAAATGTCATAACACAGACCCAGGAGGCCGTGAGTTGAGCAGGACCTTCCCCCTGAGACCAGGGACACCCCAACCCCAGACAAGCACTGTTGCAACACCCACCATCCCTTTTCATTGGGGTGCACTCAGCACCCAGGAGCTGTTCTTACCCCCCCACTCAGGGCTCAGGCAGCCCCTGGGCTGGTCTGCCAAGGGCAGGACCCTGCACACACCAGTAGCAAAAGCACATGGAGCCAACATATGGTGTCCTCAAGGAAGTAATAAGTGCTTTGCAAGCGAGTCCCACAGTACCCCCATTACAAAGAGCACAGCTGCTACATAGGGGAAGCATCTTTTGGTTTATTAAAGGTTGAGAATACAGCTGTGGACCCATCCATGAGAGCCGGGTGCCAAAAGCAGGGCTGGGTTTTGGCTGGAAGGGTGCGGTCTCCTCTCCAGGTGGCCTTCAGCAATACAGGCCAAATTTCCTATCCAGCAGGGCATCCCACAGCCCCCGTCCCGGCAGCGCTCCATCTGGAGCAGAGCCCCTCTCCACACCAGCCCTAGCCTTGGTTACTTATTGCTTTTAATGTGCTAGTCTAGTACAGAGTGAATTAAAATCAAAAATGCATGTCTGTCGCGGTGTGTTTGTGCTGTCTTCAGGCTGTGCTGGGAACCCTGGCCATCAGACCTGGAGAGGGATGGAAGAAAGGGGCAGATGAAGTCAGGCTGGGCAGGGAGCAGGGACATCCCATGGACAACAGTGCTCCAGGACAGACTGTCTCTGCCAACAGGCCACAAAGCAAAAGCCTTTGGCATCCACTGCCGGAGCTAAGCGGGTGCTGACGGTCGCTTGAGGCTGGTGGAGAGGAGGAGCTGGCACCCAGCTGGTTGCTCCAAAGCACCGGTGTGAGGGCTGGGAGTCATGACCAGCCCAGAGAGACACCACGGCACACATGCCTTCCCCACTTGCCTGAGGGAGAACAGCCCCAGCCAGCACATGGAGCCAGAGGCAGAGGGAACTCCAAGGGCAGGCACCAACCTGAGGTTTACTTGAATGTGTGGCTCTCAGCTCCTCCCCGGCCGAACCCTGGAAGAGAGACAGGGCTGGATCAGCATCGCCACAGGGCAGCAACAGGAGCCCCAAGCCCCCTTTCCCTCACAGCCCCAGCCCCAACAACCCTACCTTTGGGCCCAAACAAGGCGGCGTAGCAGGGGTGGTTGCAGTATGGCTTGCCGTCATGCTGCAGGGAGAGAGAAAGAGCATCAGCCCTGACTGCCCTTCAGCTCCATCTCTGCCCATCCCTAGCTGCAGGGGACAGGGATCTCCTGGGCAGCAAACCTCACCTCTGCATGGCCTCCAGATGTCAAGGTCTTGTTACACTTCTCACATCTCAAGCAGGGCCGGTGCCAGTCCTTTCCCAGAGAAGTCACCTTCTCGGCTGCCATGGAAAGGAGACAGGTTAGCCGAGGCACTGAACAAGTCGGTTTTGGCAGGCTGGCCTCCCTGTCATCAGCCCTAAGGTATATATTTTGGGGGATTTTCTCAAGTCTATTTGTCCAGGACAGAAACCATGTTTCAAACCCAAGTGCTTGCTGTGCACACACACTGCCAGGTATATCCAGGCACCAGGATCTGCAACAGCAGTGCCATGCCCAGGGTGAACATCGCCACATCCATGCAGACAGACTGACTTGTATCCATCTTTCAAGGATTTGAGGACATCCCCACTTCCAACATCAGCCTGCAAGGGGATGAATTTCTCCCCAGCCATCTGGAGCCCAAGTGATCACTGGAGCTGGCAGGGATGAAGGGGAGATGCTGGCAAGGATCAGGACAATAAAGCCATCACCACACCCTGCCAACACAAACCAGTTCCATCCAGCCACAAGAGCTCTGGCCCCAGCTCTGATTCTCCATGCACCATGGCAAACAAGAGAGGGGCTGGAGCTTGGAGGGGGTTCAGGCAGCTGCAGGGGGGACAACATGCTGTTTGCTGGGGCCAGGACACATTTATGGAGAGAGGAGGGAACACAGGGTGGCTTTTAATTGCAGCACAGTGCGGGAGGAAGGTATTTTCTGCAGGCACATGTGCTCTTCATATTGGCATCTGCACTCTGGGGGATTTATTAAGTGATAAAACAGAGCTTGCCATAGGAAACCCATCAGAGCCAGATTTCAGCACTCTCTCCATGCCTCCAAAAAGAGGTCAAGCAATGGGACTGTGCCACTGCTGGTACCACATGCCCCAGGGGGAGAGGCCTCAGAAGCCTAAAGCATCTCTTCTTTGGAATCCAAATATGCCCACAACAGCTTATGCAAGAAGCAAGCTGGCGGCTGCAGAGGTGGGAGCGCAGGCAGTGCCCAAATGCCACTAGGCAGCCCTGCTGCCACCCGCAAGCACCACAAAGAGCCTCCTGTGCCCGCAGCCCTGCAGGGGCCACAGCATCTTCCCCCTATGAAGCCCCTTGAGCATGAGCCTGGCCTGTGGCAGAGCCCTCCCATCACAGGGTTACTGGAAGGAGCTCAGCCTCCCCACCTCTTACACAAGTGTTTGCACCAACACTTGGGCAGCAGCTTTGCCAAGGCTCACTGCAACAGGACAACCCCAGCCCTCAGCCATGTAGGCAAGATTCTCCTGGAAAGCTGCTGGTGGCCCTGCAAACCCCATTGCCAGTCTACTCGGCATCATCTCCTCCTCACCCCTGCTCTCTACAGACACAGTTTGGCTGAAAGCAGCCCAAGGCACACCCAAGCAGGATCACGAGGCTCCAAGAGCCCCGGGGTGCCCAGAGCAGGGCTTGCTCTGCCTCCTCTGCCAGTACTCCTTATCTGCAGGCACAGAAATCAGGCAGTGAGCTTGGTCCTCCAGCTTTTGAACCCTCAGCCTCTGCATCAACAGAGATGTTTCATAAAAGCAGCCTGATAAGCACAGGGCCAAATTCCTCTGTGGTCAAACAGTCCCAGCCTGGCACCTCTGCACCCGCACCTGTGGGCATGGCAAACCCAGATCGCCCTGACTAGGATCGAAGCCCATCCACAGGGAAAGGCAGACACTGACACCAGCACACTGGTAGCTCCTGGTATCCAGCCACATGGGTAAATGAAGCACCCCAAGACCCTCAGTTGCAGAAGGGAGCCATGAACTGTATTGTGCCGAAGCCCCACCTCAAAGCCTGACTGCAAGTAGCAAGTTCAAGCTCAGGCAAAGTGGTGTTCCCCAACCACAGGAGCCACATCCCCAGCAGCCCTCCAGGCAGCACCCATGGCAGCCCCAGCACACCTCCCAGGGGCGAGCATCACTAACAGACATGGCTCTTTGGCAGGGAGAGCAGCCCTGTGCTTGAGTCTCCAGATTCTTTGGCAGAGCATAGGCAGAAGGTGGGGCACACACATAAGCAGAGCAGAAATATGGCAGAGCGAGCAAAAGCGACAGGACTCGGGTCCCTGATCTCTTGTTTCCAGTGAGCCCGATGCAGTGCCTAGCCTGCAGTGGCAGTTTAAAAATGATGCCCCAGAGCCATCACCTCACTCTGCTAAGCCATGCAGGACAACATGTGGGCAACTCACTGACCCAGGAATATGTCCGTGGGAAGGTGCTTCCTTGCCTGCCCAGGCTTCCAGGGCAGCGGGCTGCACCAGCTGGGCTTTTGGGCTGCAAACTGCTACGGGGAGGTGGATGATGCTAGGAAGGAAACGTTTAAAAATGATGCCCCAGAGCCATCACCTCACTCTGCTAAGCCATGCAGGACAACATGTGGGCAACTCACTGACCCAGGAATATGTCCGTGGGAAGGTGCTTCCTTGCCTGCCCAGGCTTCCAGGGCAGCGGGCTGCACCAGCTGGGCTTTTGGGCTGCAAACTGCTACGGGGAGGTGGATGATGCTAGGAAGGAAACCGAGACCCGCAGTGCAGGGCTGCACAACTTTGGGGCACCCCGACAATTTGCAGTGATGGGGTCTACAACATCGGAGCACCCAAGACTCGCAGCCCTGGGTGCACAGGGACCTGTAAGCACCCGGGGACCCAAAGCCCTGTGGGGTGCAGCGTTAGTGTAACCCGGTTTAAGCAGCCCGGCGGTCCCCGTGGTGTGGAGGCGGGAGGAAGGGAGGGAGCGGGAAGCCCTTACCGAAGTAGACCTCCTTCTGGCAGCGGGGGCACTTAGGCATAATCTCGGCTCTGCTCGGCTCGGCTCGGCTCGGGGCGCCGCTCGCACC